CATATCAATATATATATATATATATATATATACACATACCTAATAGGTTACCTATAATCACATCATGACCAAAAAACAAATAAAATTGCATAACCTAAATCTAATAAACTTTATTCAAGTACCAAAACTTAGAACCAAAGAAAAATATTTGGATAAATTATACAACTAAATATAATATTTATAGTAATTATATATATATATATATAACTGAATGGGTAAATATATTTTAACTCCAATAATATTCTACCCCAACAATAATATATCTTATGTGAACCAGAAAATTTAAAAATAAAATGGTGTTTACCAAAAATATAAATAAAAATAAATATAATATTTCCAGCACTTGAGAATTGCTTCGCATGAAACTCGTACAATTAATGTAAGATATTATGTATATTTCTTATATATATATATATATATATATATATATATATATATATATATATAAAAGATTTAGAAACAGCAGATATTTTTTATATATAGTGCTCAATATAAAAAATATCAAAATAATATTAAAAATAGAGTGTTAATAATATTATATAAAAAGATTACTTTTAAATATCAATTTTTTCCCTGATTCCAAAGTTTCTTGGTAAAATTTCCATTCTTCAGGGGGAGTAACAATACTTTGTTACTTTAATAATAATATAACATAATAAATCAATTAAAATATTAATTAATAATACAAATTTAATTTCAAAGAAAAAATTTACAACTGAAAGAAAAATCTACAAAAAATGAAGACAAACAAAAAGCAAAAATTCATGAATGTGCATATATAAAAGAACATTAATTTCATGAATACGCACATATACAAAATGGAGTTAAAAAAATGCATTGTAAAAAGTATGAAATAATTAAAACCAGAAACCCTTGAATAATGGAAATTTTACTATGGCCCACTAATATATATCATTTCATGCTAATTTCTAATAGCCCTATTTGGTTTATAGTCAATTTATGTCCGTTTTATCTAAAACATGTTAAAACCATCCAAAAATACACAAACAAGTTGTTTTTTTCTCTTTTTAATCAGAAAAGTAATAATAAAAGATTTTAAACAGACAAAAGAGTATTAAAGAATTAAGCAGTAATACAAAACAAATACAAGTAAAAAAAACTTACCAACAGTTTCTCTATAAATCAATTTTCTTTTGACCATCGCCTTTTTTTTAAAACATTCTACAATATTTTTTTGATCTTCATTCACTGAAAACTTTCATTTGTTGTTGTAAAATATATTGACAACAATTTTTGCTGCAAAATGAATTTCAGATTGAGTGTGTTGTTTACAAATAAAAACATATTTTGGAGAATAAGTTTCCAAAATTCTTTCAGTAGACTCTCTTGTAGTGGATTCATTATGTTTTATAATAAATTTATCTGCATAGTCATATACAGCAAAACAAGCACAAACGAACTCTGTCATTTGGCTAGATGGAACTGTAAGACCTCCTCAAGAACGTATGTCAATGTATTGATTCTCTTTAGCATCATCACCATCATTGCCTACCATGAACAGAGAACACATTTCACATTGAAAATGTTTAATTCATTTTTTGAATTTTCTCTAATAAAGAAAAAGATGGTAATGGAAATTTCTCCAGAAGCAATTTGTAGGTTTGTTGAAACATAGCACAGTAGTAAGATATAAAGTATTAGGATGATAGTATTGGTTGGTAATGTTTCTTTTTTGTAATTCTTTTAGAATTAAGTATGGTTGTTCTTCCACAACATTTTGTATGTAGTTTGTAAAATTTTCTAAAATGCTAAATCTTGTGATTTTAGCATTATGTCCATGTATAAACCACTGTGATAATGGTATAGGGGTTCCATTGCACTGGAGCTAGCCAGCAATGCAAATACATTCTTTTGTAGATGAAAAATGTGCTTCAGAGTCAAAGACTATTCTATAAGTTAGAATATAATCTTCTTTTTTTAAAATTCAAAACCACTAAGACAACATTTTGCTTCTTCCAATTGAGTAAAGTCCTTTATCATAAAATCATGTAATTCATCAGTTTGGACCAGTTGTTGCTTTGGAGGCCTTCTGAATTCCCTTGTATTCAGCAAAAGAGACTGTTTATTTATTTTTTTCTGAATGTATTGTAAGTATTGGATGTAAATCCCAATTCAATTTGTTTTGTTTTCCTTTCAAAATAAATTTCTCTTCAAAATGAAGAACTGAATTTTTCGTAAGAAAACAATCAATACAATTAACAAATTTTATCCATTTTTCTACAAGGTCAGATTTTCCAAGAAGAAAAGAAAATGTCAATACTTTTTCACTGTTAGTAACATATCCACTAGAACACACATTTTTTAATCATTTTTGTTAAACAAAATATCACAACAAACTTTATAATTTAATCTTTAAATGTAATGGAGTATGAGGTAGAAAATTTACCTAATAGCATTCAATTGCAAAACAGAAAGTATACACAATGAAAATCATAAAAGCAAGGTAACTCACAGCTCTTTATAATTCATGGATTAGTAAAAAAAGGTGTAAATATGCATTTTAGTGTTGGAAACATGTCTAAGGAATTGAAATAATATCTGATAAATTCTATGTAATTGGACGCTATAAATTTACATTCTAAGAATTCAATTTTTAAAGTTACCTCCCTTTTCGATTAGCAATTTTTTAAGCAGCCATTCACATTTTTTGTTTTCATTACATCGGCCTGTTAGAAATCAGCCTGTTATGTGACATGTGGGGGCCATATAACATTAGTTGACTATCATGGATCCATATATGCATATACATTGAGGAGTCAGAACATTATAGTCACCTTCAAAATAATGTACTAGTCCTGCCTGCAAAATAGTTCTTACCTAATTAGACATAGACTTAACATGATCTTCACAGATTTCTTCTGAAATCTGATGTCAGGATGTTAACAGCAGATCCTTTAAATGCTTTAGGTTTTCTGATGGAGGATCTTCAGAGCAAACTTGTTGGTTCAACATAGCTCATATGGAATTGAGATCTGAGAAGTTTGTTCGCTCAAACAACACAGCAAAGTGTTTTTCTTTCTCCTGAAACTATTCCTATACACCTCATGCAATGCAACAGAATGCATTGTCCTGGTGAAAGATGTCACTGCCAATATAGAGGACTGCTGTCATAAAAGGGCATATCTAGTTTCACTGATGTTAAGGTAAGTGGTAGAAAAATTATTTTTTGCATGAATGATAGGACCCAGTATTTCCCATCAGATTGGTTACTTATTTTCTCACAATGCATCACTTCCACAGCATAACAACACACAGACATACACGCTATCTACCTTCCACTCTGTTTAGGAGAAAAGCAAGAAAAACAAACAATTAAAAGCTGTCAGAAAAAACATTATTTGGTCCATGAGGTCATGTGTCTCTTGAACAATCCAATTGTGTAATTTTGGCACCTAATGTCTGTACTCAGGTAGTGTAATTTTTGTGTATCCTTTCTTTCTTAATTAAAGTTCAATCTCTGGATAAGGTAGTACAGAAAAATCATACACTGGTCCAATAGAAGAAACAGACAAGCAACACAAAAGTGAAGAGACTGGAGAGAATTAACTGATAGGAGTTATCTCCTCTAAGCTTGGAAAACAGAATAAGAAAAATTTACCACTGTGGATTGAATAAAGGGTTTGGTTCAAAATTTCCAAGAAGATTACCAAATACAATAACAGATACCTGAGGGAGACCAGAAGGTACAACAGCCAAAATAATGTGAGTGTAACAGCCACAATAAAGATACTAGTCTGAATGTAAAGGTACATGATAATGATAACTCCACATCTCAAAAGTTTTCACATAAATTATAAAATGTATTATATATATTTATTTTTCTCAAATATACATACACACACTTGAATACATAAATACACATTCATAGATGTCCTGTCACCTATAACTGCTGACATATCAACAAAAATAAGTTAATTATTTGGAACAAATCTTGCAATTTCTTTTTTCTATATTTTAGCCACAACCAATATTTATACCTTGACAAAATGCAAAAGTTATCATTCACAAAAATTCTGCCTTATATCAATATTATACTCTTTGTTTCTTATAGAATTCTTCAATTTTTGAAAACAACACAAAAGAAAGAAAAAAGAAAGAAAAAATATTGTAAACTTCTTTGGTTATGGTCACATTTCATTTAATTTACTGTTTATAGAATGAAAATAGAGATTCTTGGAAATAATTCAAAAGCAAAACCTAATGTTTAATATTTCACATAACAATTTTTAATTCTGTTGCTGTAAGAGAAAAAAATAGTAAAGAATGTTTCCCAATGGTTTGTCATTGAGAGATTGCTTATATGGAAGAATGAATTGTGAACATTTTTAAATTATGTTTTTTTTTATTCTCAGTGATTTTATAAGCATTAATTTTGGAATAGAAACACTTCATTAAATTTTATTGTGGATCTGATGTCTTTAGTAAATTCAAATTAATAAGCTATATTCATTAATTTTCCAAATCTCTCAGAATAAAATAAAAAATAAACCACGTTATCAATGAAAAATTTAATTTTGCTCATATAAAATAGGTACACAAGCTAACTTGTTCAAATTATGTTTTATAGACAATGATACATTTCAGTAAGGCAGTTGCTGCATTCATAAGGAGTCCTAAGAAAAAAAAAAGGTTCAGTTTACAACTAGACTGAACCAATTTCAGGATACAGGCCAAATTTATAGAAGCATCCACTGAAGAAGATCAACAAGAATAAATCCTAATCTGCTGAAAATGAACTGGAGTATTTATTGTCACTGAGGAAATTTGAAAAATCTAAATACTCATTGCCATTTCTGCAAATTTTCATAGGATGTGTCAGTTGATCTCTGAAAGGCTTATCTTCTGATATTGGGAGAAGGAGAAAGTAAAAGAGATTTATTTGTTTTTCTTTGCCACCTTATCTTTTTCAATGCAGATATAGAAAAAGTGTCAGATTCCATTTTCCATTACAATCCCAGCCTCTCCAAATTCTGTTTCTCATGTTTTTCTCTCTCACCATTCTTCCTCCTCATCACTCAACTTCCTCAGCCATCAACAAAGCATCACATTTCCTTGTGAGTCTGTTTCATTGATAATTGTGTAATTGCAAAAGAAGAATTGGAATAGGAAAGATTGGAAGGAGAGAAAAAGAATGTCAAAACGATACAAGACAAGAAAATAAACTTTTGCAGAAGAATCTTTCTTCAGATGACAATAATATTGATAATAATTTTCTATAATGGATTACAATTTGCTTTTGGTCTTATTTTTTTCATTGTTTTTAATTGCAAGATGATGGTGCCAACAATAGTTGCAATAATGGCCTGGATGGTGATAGCTGATGATACTGATGATGAAAATGGTGTTGATAACAGTTCTTGTCATTGTGCTGATGATAACAACCAGTAGTGATGGAAACACTGATGTTAGTAGTGATAGTGATTGTGAAATGATGGTAGTGGTGTTAGTAGAAATAATTCTCATAATGACAGTGGCAGTATCAACCATAATGGTGATAGTGGTATGAGTGATATTAATGATAGCAATAGAAATAGAGCTAGTGATGGGAGTAATGGTGGTGATGATAATAATACTGGTGATGATAATACCAGTGATGGTAGTTAGGATGATGACAGCATTATTGATATTGGTTGAGATGGTGGTAGTTGATTACCTTAATAAGACAGATGGTGAAAAAGGTAGTTGTTTACATGGAGATGGTAGTGCTGCTGCTGAATGGTAATGGAGAGAGATTGGATGGCAGTTGACATGGCAGTGATGCTGATGTTACAGATCTGGGTTCAAGTGATGAAAGTTTTGATACTAATGATTTTAACATTATGATGCTGATGAGGCCAAAGATGATGATGTTTATGATAAGGATTCAACTATCTTTTGAAGCACTTTCAAAAATCATTCCAATGCCATTAATAAATATTTCATTCCATACAGAATACACATTTGTCTATATAGTTTTCTTCTCTTCTTTTTCCTCTCATCAATTTATTTATGATCTTGTGCCAACATATTTATCATGATTGATAATCCTAAATCACTTTTAAATAGCAAAACACAGAAATATATATAATTTATATAAAGAATAACAAATGATAAAAAATAATAAGTGCTCTTCAAAAACTGTGTAAGAGATGTTGGTAAAGTCCCAAAACATCTTTTAGGCAAGGAAGATGGTAGATAAAATATGTGAATTTCACATAAATACACAAGAAATTTAAAGCCCCTCCCACCAAAACACATGTACAAAAACACACACAGTAAGATAGAAAAAGCAATTACTGCTAAAATTATTCCAGTCATGATATCCAAGATTTTATCCCAAATGCCACCTCCCAAAAAACATATTCTTTAATATAAAAAGCATTGATTCAAGAATTTTCTTTCTGGCAACTACATTGATGAAAAAGAAAAATAATCTTGTCATCAGAAACTAATATCATTTTCTACCATGTCAGATCAAAGTGTGATTTCTGTTTTCAATAGCATAATTAGAATTATAGTTTAATTATAGTTTAAGACACACACCATCACCTTTTGTATTTTCAAATACAAAATGTAGCAATATTTATTTGAACTCTTCTTTTTTAAAGTAAGAAAGCCAAAAAGTGCTCATTATTCCCGGTTATACTAAATTAATATTGAAATTAGTTTCAATTGCTCTTTTCTGATTCTGTTAAAAGGACCAAATTTTTGAGTTATACTCAAGAAAAATCTATATTTTGGTATCTAAATTTCAATTCTAAAATTGACTGAAAATTAATCACATGGCAATGCTGTTACTAGGCAATGAATATCATTTGATTCTTAGTCATTCAATATAACATTATCTAAATCTTTAAATCTGGTAAATCTTTTGTTTTTTCTTGTAATGATATGAAAAATAAAAACATCTTTTAAAAATACTTTATTTTCTTTGTCTTAAGAATATATTATATATGTTTCATATATACTCTGTAACTCAGTCATGGGCACAATTGGCTTTATGAATAACACACCTAAATCATGAGTAAAATAACATTTATTAAAATGTTGTGTGGCTTCTTTTCATTCTCACTTGTTCACTCACACACTCTCATCCATAACCACATAAACAATGATAAAGTACAATGTTTCTTGAATTTTGTAACATTTCATTGATAGTACAGTTATCAACATTTTAAACCATTAGCAATTTTCACTAAGGAAGATCATATGTGTAAACATATTTTGCTTCAGAAACAGGAAATGTCAATGATAATTATCCTTCTTTTAAAACTACTTTTGTCTACTCAAATGAATACATTTGAAATAAATCACATGATGCAGCAATGTGTGTTAATCACACTGTCATCAATAATAATTATTATACTAAGACTTCAATTTTTTTTAATTATACAAGGAATCTTTTCTCCAAAGAAAAAAAAATCAACTTTTCCTCATTTCTAAGACAGATGCTTTTGATGCCCTATGATATAGTGTACCACATTTGGCCAAAAATTTTTGCCCATGTCTGTTGTAACTATAGCTCAGTAATATCAAAACTTTGTTTAGCATTCTAATATATATATATATATATATATATATACATATATATATATATATATATATATATATATATATATATATATATATAATAAAGAAGTTAATGGTCAAAAGTTGAGTTGAATTAAGATAAACATTTAAATTTAACATGTAGAGCTTTTAAGTATAGAAATATATATATATAAAATATCAATCAGTATATATATATATATATATATATATATATATATATATAGTATTAACTACATTTACTGGCTTGAATTTCCAAGAAATTTCATTAAAAATTTGTGTCCTTTAACCTATACACTTCCTCTGTAGGTAAATGGCATAACAAATCAGGCTATATGACAGTTCCATATGGGATACAGGTTCAATTCCTGTCGGAGGACATATTTTCTATGAAATTTCTCAGACATTCAGGCTGGTAAGTGTTGTTAATACTGTTATATATATATATATATATATATAGATGGATATATATAGATATATATATATATGTAAAATGTGTATGTATATAAATATATATGCAATTTTTTATATATATTATTTATATATTATATATGTACGGTACTTATTGGAAAGCACTCAATATCAGTGATAGAGCTAATATTTAGTTGGATTGATGTGAGTTTGTAACCCTGTGTTTCACGCTATTTGTGATCGTCAGACAAACTGATTAATTTCTAAATTTTGGATTTATATATGGTTGCGTATATCGGTGTTTTATGGAAGTGGGATAAAACCCAGGGTCACAAACTCACATCAATCCAACTAAATATATATATATATAATATCAATCAGCACCTGACAATTGCATAGTGCATGAAACTCAGAGTTGTGCTACCAGGAAGGAAAAAAATGTATATTATATATTACTTTAAAATTTGTTATATTTGTGATTCTCAATATCAGAGATAGAGCATCTGTAGATATAGACAGTGTGGAAATAGAAATCAGCACTATTGTTTTCAAGCAATCTTCAGTATACAGACTTATCAAACCAACCTTGTACATATTCAAGTATATTTATCTATACACATATATGAATACCTATTCATTCTCTTTGACAAATGCTTATTCCTGTTTTGAAACAAAGGATAGTTCTAAATTCACATAAACAAGTATAAGTGATAAGACAGTTTGTACACAAAACAATTTTACATATATATATATATATATATATATATATATACACACATACACAAAATGAAATGAGAACAAATCAAATATTAATTCAAATGATCATAACTTTAATTTAAAAATAGAACAACAGTAAAGTGATAATTCTTTATTATAGGATATTACATTCAAACCGCTACATAAATGTATTCATGTTTTGATGCATATTAGTGCATCTCATCAGGTGGTAGTAAATGATGAGATGCTGATATGCATTGGAACGTGAATACATTTATATAGCAGTTACATATGTTTGAATGTAATATCCTATAATAAAGTACATGTGTGTGTGTGTGTATATATATATATATATATATATATATATATATATATAACAGTAAATTGAATACTACCATAGCATAAAGAAAATTACTATATGACATTAAACTTTAAAAGAATAGCACTTCTTTATTTTCTTATAAATATGAATGTGTGTGCATGTGTATACATTCTCATTTAAAAAAATAAGCACACAGTTGTATGCTGGGTAGTTTGTAATTCTATTATTGAAAACATACCTGTTTACTTTGAGTGTTTACAAATAAAATGTAATTTTCCAACCATTCTCGAATTAGAGGATTTGAGTGAGGTACAATAAACATTGATAAACACACCCAAAAGCCACACACTAAGATGCCCTGCAACCAAAAAATAATTTTATCAAAGAAATAATATATATTTTAATGATGAAGAATTTGTATGCTGGGGTGGTTATTTTTTGGTAGATCTTTCTATATTTTTTCTTCTGCTCAAGGAATTTAGAAAATGAATAAAAATGATCCAATAAAAACAATGTTACTACAAAGAAAGACATGATATATGAATCTTAATACAGATTAAATAGGAAGCATTTTTTTTCTTTCTTCAACTGAAAATGACTACTTGATATTGCCAAAGGCAATTTCAGAAAGTTTGGATGCTATGATATTAAATGAATTAATGAAAGAAATCAGATATGTTTTAGTATCAGATAAAAAATATAAGAACAATTATGAAGAGAGAGAGAGAGAAAAAAAACATAAAATTTGTTGATGTGGGGCCCTCCAAAAAAGGGAAACAAAATAATATCAAAAACAATACTTAGAAAGAAAGTTTTTGCCTTTTCTTGTGTGTATGTGTATGAGAGATAGAAGAAATCTCTTTCCTTGTATTGAGTTTAAAGTTAAATTAATATATTTTATTTTATTGAAAACTTGGAAACATATTCTTTACCTGGAAGCAGTAAAAAGAAATAATTATTTTAATGGAAGATAATTCCACGAAACAATTTTCTGCCCTTCTTACTTATTATTTTCTTTCTTTCCTTATTTGTTTTCTTTTTATCTCTGCTTTTTTAAAAAATATTTTTTTGACTTCTCTTTACTTTTATTTTTTCTGTTTCTTACTTTCAAATATATACAGTCTTTCTTGTTTTTATATTTTTTTTTCCTTCTTTTCATTATTAAAAATTATTTTTACTTTACCTACTTTTTCTTTTCCATTTTCTTTTATCTTGCCTAGTATATTTTCCTTCTTTTATTGCCTTCTTTTTCTTTTTTCACAGTAGCAAAGAAGAGTTTTCTTCTTCTTTACCATTGTGATTTTTCCTTTTACTTACTTTTTTCATTTCTTTTTTCCTTCACATTTTTTCTTCCTTCTTTTCCATTGACCTTTCTTTCTTTTGAAATTTCTGCATCCTCAAGACAACAGTTTTTACCCAATGTTGGCATAAAACTGTGCAAGTCAAGGTAATTCAACACACTGAGGTGTTCCAAATATCCAATCATTTTCTTGTCTTTATACAAACTTTCAATTTAGGCAGAAGGGTATGACCCACATTCCTGTAGATGTTTCTTTATTAAAAGAAACAAATACCTATGAGCAGTACAGTTCTAATTTTTTCCCCCCACAAAGAAAACTCAAATAGAAAAAAATATTTACAACAAAAATCAAGAAAACCTATACAATTTGTTTATTTTCCTGATGAAAATAAACAAAGAAAACAGTAAAAAGCCCAAAAGGCAGATACTTACCTAAACAGTAACCAACAGTGTTCTATGCCTAGATTATTAAGACAAAAAAATGCTTCACAGCATCACGCCTCAAAGGAGACAAAGTTTGAACAGCTACTTAAGTTTCATGCTCCTGGGATCATCAGGCAACCAGAATCAGAAAAAATTTATATAGATCACAGTTCATGTTTGATCATACAAATTTAAAAAAATAATTGATAACTATCAACTTGGTAACCCATATTGTAATGTCAAGATTCACAAATGTGTTTCTCTACTATGTCCAATATCATATGTCTATTCCTGTATATCAACTTTCAAAAACATTGCATAAATTAATATCACATTTATTATGTAAATATAGCATTAATTCATAATTTCTAGAAAACCTAAAAATGAAATACTAACCTTATCAGATGTAAAAATTTTATTTCCAAATGTCCCTGTTAATGAAACAATAAACATTATCATAAATAATGTTTACAAACATTCCTCATTCCCACCTCTTAAAATCAAATTATATTAAAATTATTAGGATATATTACGCAAGTTCTGTTCTATATATAGAGAGAGGATATGGTTGCACCCTGGTGCTATTTGAGGTTGGCTGTAGAGGATTTCCTGCTGCCTCTCTAAAGAGATTCCTCAAGTGTGCTGGGATCCAAAAGCTGGATAAGGTGATTAAGACTTGAGGTGAAAAAGTGGTGGAAGGAAGTCAATGGATTATCCAAAAATTCTTATCAAGTTGCATCCAACTAACATAGACCGGTTGCAACATAACATCATCCAGCTGTTGCGGGTCCACTGTGTGAAAAGGTACTGAGCTTAATGGGCCAAAACTTTGCTGAAGCACAGTGCTGACCTGAAGATTGCAGCTGGTCTGGAGCACTTGATGTGTACTTGTGTTATATATATATATATATATATATATATATATATATATATATATATATACAAAATTGGTGTAGCTATAGCTAGCTCTTTAGGTCCTTCTTTCTCTACTTTTACATGGCTCAGATAAATATTCAATAAAATAACTAAACCAACCATATATATTAGATACAATGACAATATTTTCATGTTAACAAAAAATGAGAGATATTAAAAAATTAAAACAAATATTTGAACAAAACTCTGCTTAACATATGATGAATTAAACATTAATAAAAAATATTATTCCTAAATGTCCTTATCAATTCTAATAATCTTGATTTTTTTACCTCTCCTTATAAAAAACAATTTAGTACTAATTCAAAATTCTTAATTTAGTAGTCAATAATAAAACCTCAATACAGTCAATCCTTCTATATGACTAATACTGTTTACAAATTCACTTACCCTACCACAACCTGCTCCGGCAGATTTACTTGTCATATGTCTGACTACAGAGCAATATTGCAAAACATGGTATAGAAACAAATAATACAATAATATAAGACAGTTCTTTGTTGATAATACAATAAAACTTATAAAAACAAACAATAACAAAAAATTAAAAATTTTAGAACACACACACACACACATATATATATATATATATATATATATATATATATATATATATATATATATATATATCAGAAACACATTAAAACAACCAATAATTAATAAACAGAAAGAGACAGCAGCTATTTCTGGGACACATAAGAGGACCTGGAGAATTTGACACTCACAAGATATATTGAAGGTAAGAGAAGCAAAGGAAAACAGCAAGTAATCTACTTAAATTTGAGTGAATGTATTGCAGAAAGGTAAAGGGTGAAATGTTACAAAAAACAGGAAATTGTCACGTATGTGCAGAAAGAACATAGTACATAAAAGAATTAACAAATTCACTTATAATTTAGGAACACACTACTTAAAATGTATTTAGATTCTTGTGCCACATTCATATGACATCACAAACATCTAAATTAAAAAATACTATTATGTTCACATGATGTTGAATATGTTACCAAAAAAACCTCATTCTTAAAATTGAGGTACAGAATCATCAAAGGACTGCAATTCTTGACAATGACTAAAGTCAGAGGAAAGTTTGAAATATTTAATAAACAGACATTAATTATGGTGAGTTCCTTCATAATTTCAGTCATAAAATATGTATCTGTCAATAAGAGAAAAATATTTTTAAATTGTACCTAAATAAAAAAGTATAATTTGTCTAGTTTATTTAACAAAACGTTTTATATAAGGTACCTCTACAGAAGTTAAATTTTGATTTTATTTTAAGGATGAAAAAGAAAAATATTTTTACATCTTTATTTAAAGATTTTAGCCATTTTTAAAACAAAAGAGTAAAATTAAAACAAACTTACTACCCAGTTTGATTGGCTACTTTGACAGATGCCAACAAAAAAAAAAACTAAAACACTTTAAAAATCTCTATAAAATCAAATATCTATCTCAGACATTTGTTTCAAAGAAAAATAGTAAATTTTATATTTATTGACTAAATTCTGTAAAATACTACTTACATTTTGTTTAAAATATAAGGGAAATACATTTGCCCCCACCCACTCCCAGCAGGGTATGTCCTCAATTGTTACTTATTCTATGATATGTAAGTAATTTCTTTATCTTTATTATATTGTAACAATATTATTGTGACACTGAGATCTCCAGAGGTTGATCAAACAAAAAGAGAAAGAAAGAAGGAATAGGAGAGAGAGTCTAGTAATTGGATGATAATTGTTGAAATTGCAAGAAGATGAATTGAGAGGTTGAGAAAGAAATTAAAGACAAAATGTGTTGAAAAATCATGTTTTGAGATAATACCAAGGGGAATAAAACCCAAATTTAATTAGACGAAATTCAGTAAGATTTAGCAAATCCAAGACTGCCTCCTTCACCTGCCATTGATAAGAAAGAGATCATTAAGATATCCATAAAGATGTTAGATAAAATAAAAACATATGTTGTTGATAGAGAAATCCAGGTGGTCAGTGAAATGACATTCACAATTCCCCTGGACAAGGAAAAAAGACAAAACATGTTTCGAACCCAGAAGGTAATTATAATTTCAGTGACATTTGTCCATAGAAAATTTTATATCCAAACATTAATGTGGATTCCCTTGGATATAAGTGGTAAGAAAAAATTAATTACTATTTTGAAGGGCCCATGAACATGAAAACCACTTGAGTAAACATATTTTTATATATGGAAATTTAGAAAATGTTGATACTTAGGGTAGAAGACAACCGAACACAGACCCTAGTCAACCTCACCTCTGGTGGATGCAGGGTTCCATATAAACTGGAGATTTTGGACTCAGAAACGGTTAAGATAACAGAACAAGAGACACAAGGAGAGAGACAGAGAGGTACACACCAAAATCCACATTGTTTGCTGAGACCTACTGACCTTATGCTGGACATGAAGACAAGAACTTAGAAATTTAAGTTACTACTAAAACAAGCTGTAGGCTCTGAAGGGAATCTCAATGTCATTTGATTATAACAAGTGGGAGGAGTTTAAAACCACTGTCTACAACAAAACATATATAACCCAAATTGTAGTTACATTTTGCTTCATCAATGATCTTCTCACCCTCTGAGATCAAAATACATGGCAGAGGAGTGAATGGTCATGAACAGACAAACTCCAGCTAAGTCAAGTAGAACCATGACGTCAACACAATACTAGCAACAAAACAAGTCACACACTAATGAGTAAAGTGTCAGCTAAATGGTAATCATGGTGGTCTGAAGGAACTTGAGGACCGACAACTGGGTGACATAATTGGTTACCACTGTCTAGGGCTGAGGTCAGGAATACATATTTGGTTAATAAGGACAACACTGGTGACATATTATGACAACAAAAACTTTATTAAACAGACAAAAATACTATCAGTAGTAGTAGATTAGTCAAAACTTGGTGACCCTGAGACATAATTCAGAATTCTATTTTTGATCTTCTGTAGAATAAAATATCAAACAATCAAAATGAAAATGATTAAAATTATTTAAAAAAAATAAAAGTAACAGGATGAATTTTACAATTACACTGAAAAAATATTTAGTGTAGAGGTTTTTTCTTGTCAAATCTGAAATAAAATAATGTTTATTAAATTATGCAAGCACCAACTCTCGACAAAAATTATTTTGGGGAGTTTTATTGAATTACTTTTAGTGTGGTTCAGGAGAAATTTTCCATACAGACACTACTTAGTAATTTTATCATTTTAGAATGTAGGTTCTTTTAAAGAAAGACAAATGACAGCAAATTTTCACAAGCAGCAGTAGCAATACTAATTAGAAGCCAGATTAGGTTTAAGGCTCCAAGTTCACAGAATTCTCCCATGGGACAATAGCCTAGTGGATTAAAGTGGCGGTTCATGAATTTGATGACATAGTAATTGTGAATTTAATTCATGGACTGTGTAAATGGGAGAGAAATAACTGAGTAGTACTATAGAACTAGTTGAGATATCTTTAGACATAGGCAGAGTGAGGAGAACAGTCTACTCAGCATAGATTAAATAAAGTTTTTAGTTTAGTATTCCCTGTAGGTTACTGTTATAATTCACTCCTAGTGGTTATAATATGTCTTAGGCTACTCACCATGACATCAATGGAATTCTTCTCGACTGGCTCCAATGGACTTCTACTGACTCACTTTGAGTTCCTTATTTAAAGCATCTTGGCTAGTTCATTTGTGTTACTGGAGGTGTCTTATTTACTCCACAAAATATTTTGGGTCAACTTCTAGTTTTTCTGTATGTTTCCTTTTCTGGGAAATCATACAAATTTTTTGCGTAGCTCCCAGATGGTTGAACCATTTTCACTCCAAGTTTGCTTTATCAATGATCTTCTCACCCTCTGAGATCAAAACACGTGGCACTAAAACAAGAGGTACTCACTGGGGTAGACTGTTCTAGTTCCATGTGCCATATCAGTTATCAATTATCTCCTGTTAATTCCCCTCTCCAAGTTTTCCACTGCCTTAACCGGGTATTGAACTCACACTCTTTGGGTCCTGTCATTGGATCTAACTAATGCCTTTATCCACTATGCCATGTGTCCTTGAGGACATCTGTGTATGAATTTCTGGCTATTATAAACTTAATGTCTTCAGCAACCATTTTTACCAGTGCTCATATTGCAATTTTTGCTGTTATCATTGTATGTTTTTTACCAGAGATCATATTGCAATTTTTGTTGCAGCCTCAAAAAACTGGGATAGGCAGATACAAGAGGAGGACGACAACACTCAGAAAACAGTCTGCCTGCCTTATGTGAGAGGTTATCAGAGAAAATACAAAGAATCTGTGGTCCATATAACATCAGGACAGCCTTCAAAAGCTAGACGACACTTCACAGATATTTCTCCTGAGTAAGACCCCCCTCACAGAGGAGAACATGACTAAAGACTGTGTGTATGCTATCCCGTGCAGCTGTGGAAAGAAATATAAAGGGGAGACAGTCTGCCCCCTTAAGGTAAGGCTTCAAGAACACCAGAAAGCTGTAACACAAGAGGAAGTGGAAAAATCAGGTGTGGCTGACCAGATATGGAGAGAAAATGGAGATCACTGCCCTCCGTGGGATCAGGTTGAGATCACAAAGAACACCATTAGAAAATTCGTAAACTTAAGGAATCAGCACATATGCTAGGCCACAAAAATCTCCTGAGCCGACCAAGCATAGAAATGAATACAATATGGGAACCAGTAATAAGGAGTGTCAGAGAAAAGCGATAGTAACAACAAACATTACAATATCAGCTCTGGTAAAAAAACATGCAATAACAGCAAAAATTGCAATATGAGCATTGGTAAAAATAGTTGCTGAAGACATTAGGTTTATAATACTCAGAAATTCATACACAGATGTCCTCAAAGACACATGGCACAGTGGATAAAGGTGTTAGTTAGACCCAGTGACAGGACCCAAAGAGTGTGAGACTCTTTGTCACTGTCACCAGCCTGTGTACTGGTCGATCGGTGGTCGTCGCTACTCAGCAAAATACCCTGGTCAGGATACCAATATGGGACACTGGCCCATCCAGGGTCGAATTCTGGTCGTCAATGTTAACTGCTTCACCAGCTGTACTGGTTCAATACCAGCTCTATCGTTCCCAACTCACTTGTAACATCTGGTTACTGGAGTAACTGCTTCGATCTCAAGTCTAACCTACCCACATTGTGACTTTGATCTTAGGTAGACAAGATCAATTAGGTGTCGGGCCATAGTGTAAGCTGAGTCCAGATTGATGGTGGTATCACACAAGCGCGAAGAAAAAAAAAATAAATAAAAGAAAAACTCAAGAGGTTCAAGTATGTTAAGAAATAACAAATTAACCTTATCCTTCTGTTATATACAGGAGTGTGTTTTTCTCCCAGCCCATTTCCTACGAAATGTGACACTTCTATGTTTCAAGCAAGTTGGTATCGTAAGTCAACTAATTTAGTTCTTAGGTGTTGGCTTGGCTTCGATAGTCAGTATAACTTGCTATTGGTAGGATAGGCGAAGTCAGAGGTTGTGGAATCTCTCAGTCAGCTTCTGCATGGCAACACTCTGTTTAGCTATGACTAACTCCAAAACCAACTCAAAACTCCAACTACCGAACGACCACAGGATGTTTGTTTATATGGGTACCGACCAAAACTGGTGTGGGGCCAGACGCGGCCTAGGGTTCTCGGTAAATCTCGATTTCTAACAAGAAATATATTATATATTATATATCATTTTTCAAATTTGTGAACTTATTACACAGTCTTCCCATATTCCTTTTCCATTTTAATATACACTGAAAAACACTTTTTCGTCAATTTTTAAATATTTTGTATCCTTTTTGTTATCCATTCTTATTCTTTTTTGAGCTGGTTGAACACTGATTTAATTTTTCCTGTGAACATCAATGTAACAAATTCACTGTAACCGTGGAAGTTGGTTATTGCACTTACAAATTTTCAGACGATTATCATTACAACAAGATAATGTGATTTGTTTATTGGACCTGTGAAATGGTGTATCTGTCTTTGGCTAAGATTGTAATTTCATGGTAGGTGATTTTGCTGTCAGAGCACAACCTCTGCAGGCTTTTACTAATTTTTCAATGTCTTGATCCATTTTGGTCCAGTATACATAGCTTCTCATAAGAGATTTCATCCTTGAAATTCCCAGATGTCCACTATAAATTTCATTTAATATCCTCTTTTGTAATATGATAGGTATTACTACTCTTTGTGTAAACATCTGTACTCAGTCACATAGTGAGTAAGTGTTCAAATCTGGATTATGTTCTAAAATCATCTATCTTTCTGATTTTCTTTTATTCGTTTTTTTATTTTCAAAATAATTATGTCTTGTTCTGCTTTTACTTTTATTTCTTCCAGGGTAACCAGTAGCTTGCATACTACATTGCATAATATATTTTTAATGCTGCAATATCAGTGTCCTTAAATGGTTCAGTATTTTTTGTTATCAGTTTTGATAAACCACCAGCATTAATTTTTTGGACAGTTGGTATTCCATCCTGAAATCATAATTTAATAAGATGGTACCACAGCATTGTAATCTATTTGCTGTATAAAGAGGAATTTCTTTTTTTTTTTCACCATAAATTGATAATAGAGGACTGTGGTCTGTCTGTAAGCAAAAAATCCTTCTATGCATAAATTTATGAAATTTTTTCATGCAAATATTATTGCTCACACCTCTTTTCTGATCTGGCTGTAGTTTTTTTCTGTTGGTAATAGCAAATGTGATGCATGTGTGATGGCTTTCATGTTACCGTCATCATATTTATGTAGAATTATTGCTCCTATACCATAGTCACTGGCATCTGAAGCCAATACAATTTCTGCTTTGGATCATAGTGTGCTATACTGATAATTCTGATGTTAGTATTTTCTTGATTTCTTCAAACACCTTCTGGGGCATCAGTCCAGTTCCACTTTATGGCTTTTTTAAGCAAATTGTTCAGTGGAGCTCTCAAATTCTGCATATTAGGTATATAGGTTTGATAATAGTTTGCTAGTCCCAGAAATGCTTGTAAACTAGTAACATTTGTTGGAGGAGGCATATTCTTAATTGCACTTGCCTTCAACAGTTGATGACCATTTTTGTCAATGATTTGACCTAGGTACTTGATTTTAGGCAAAAACAATTTGCACTTTTCCTCACTGAGTTTGAACCCATATTCTCATATTTTTTCAAAAACTCTTTTTACATGATAGATATGTTGTTCCTTAGATACACTTTTAATTAATATATTATCCAGATAAGCAACTGTAAAATCTGTAAACATAGTATCCATAGCTTGTTGAAATATAGCTGGAGCCACTTTTATCCCAAAAGGAAGTCAGTTGAACTTATAAAATCCCTTGTGTTTATTTATAGTTATTAACTCTGAACATTCTTCTTCAATCTGTAATTGCAAATACACTTCAGAAAAATCAAGCTTTGAAAACACTATGTCTACTTATTTTTATCATAATCCTTTTATATTCATAAATATTTTTCCATGTATAATTAAATAATGCAAGAAATGCACTGTAACAGTGAGAATCACTTTTATTTCCCAAGTACATTCCATCTCTTTCTGAGATCATCATCAGGGTTGCAACTGGTAAGGCAAAACTATGTATCCATTACTGAATATTTTTTTTGGAGAGGAATAAAAGTGATTCTAAAAAAGAATTTGCTGCCTAAATACACACACACACACACACACATATATATATATATATATATACATAAAAAAATAAACAATAGAAACATATAGTATAATCAAATAGCATTTAAACAATTTCATAATTCATATCAAGTCTGATCTTCAAAGTCAAATTTAACTATACAATATAAAGAATGGGTATGTAAATTTTATTTTATATAAATACAAATTATTAAATATATTTAGTATATATTTTGTACAGTAATGATAAAAGTATAGAAAATGTTTAGACCTGGACAACATGCAGTATACATCTCAAAAGAATATTCTATGCAAAAATGACCAAAAAGTTTTATCACTGAAGGTGCATATCAAAGACACTGTTTTCATGTTAAAAGTTCTCACTGAATTTTTTCCAGTTACACTTGCAATTGTTGAATATTTAATAAACAGCTATAATATTCTAATTTTTAGTTCTCATTCCCTTTTATTCTTCCTCTCTCTCTCTCTCTCTCTCTCTCAAAGGTTAGTCAATGCAAATCTCTTTTCATAGAAAAGCTTCTTTGACAGACATTTAACATGAATGTTCCATCACAGTGTCCAGAAGGTGTGAAGTAAAAATAGTGTCAAATTCCACTACAGTGGCCAACTCATGTGAGTCATCTTTTGAAAAGTCATGATTGCTGACAAGTAAAGTCTGACTGTGATGCATTTGTTACACAGCAGCTGTCATTGTAGAACAGAGCAGAGAATTCTGAGATTTCAAAGATTACTTTCCCAAGAGGAAATAATAGAAACAGTAAAAAAAAAAAAAGAAAGGTGAGAAAAAAGACAAATGTTAAAGAAAATGTGAAAAATATGTTATTTGATTTATTTTTTAGAACATTAACTGTTGTACACATGTCTTATTTTGTATGAAGCAATTTTACCAGTTATTAAATTCAGTTTAATAAGGACTTAGGCTTTAATTGAGGGTTACATACTTGTTTTTGCATAGCAAAGAGAACAAAAACAGAGAGGGAACAAGAAAACAAAGAGAAAAAGAAATGAGAAAAGAAAATTAGTGAGATTGAAAGTTAGAAAATAAGGAAGAGTAAAAGTAAAAAGAAATATAAATAGAGAGAGTCATTAAGATAGAGTAAAAAATAGAGAGCTTATAAGAATCATATACTGGGGAAGAGATAGAGAAGAGAAAAAGTATAACTTTATGTAATGATTAGAGAAGATAAAGATGCAAAGAAGCGAGTGTAAAAAGTGGTAAGTATAAAAAGATTTGTAATCACAGAATGAAAATAAAGAAAGATAGATATAAGAAGGGTGAAAACAGAAAAATAGTGTGTGTGAATATGGCATGAAGATAAAAACAGAGATAGGCACAAAAATAGTGTGTGCTTGTGTATGTGTGCAAGAGAAACAGAGAGCAGCAAAGAGAAAAATACTTGGAAAATCACAGTATGAACTCAGAAAACAAGATGAAGGAATATAAAAGGTAAAAACGATAAAAAGAGAATGGCTGAATATGTGTATAACAGAGAATAAGAGAAAATATGAAAATGGAAGAAGATAACAAAGAGATATTTTTTTTTAATCATCATTTCTATTTTTTGACATTTTAATATGTGATAACTTGGATGTCGCTTTGCAACACAAGCATCAATCATTTTGATTATGATAAGACTGCAAGATTCTTTCAAGCAAATAGTGTCATATTAACCCAACCCATCCTTACATATCAAATATTTTTTTCATGCTACTAGAGTGCAGCTACTTGAATGTCTAATCTGACATAATAAATGATGCTAACGATAGAGTTTCAATTTCCATTTCAAGCATCTTTGATTTTGTATTAGTATCAAAACAATTGTCTGTGAGTTTTACAAAATGTCAGATTTATTAGTGCTTGTTTTGTTCTTTCTTTTTTTTTGCCATATTCATTTTAATTTTGAACTTAACAATATAAAAGAACAAATCAAATATACAATGTCATGGGATAATCGTATGTAAAGGTAATAGTCAGTGGTACCACCAAACTTCAATGTCATGTAAATGCCAAGACCTACCTCCTTAGTTCTACCTTCTTTGTTCTATATTAATGATCCCCTCAGAAATATTCTCAGATCAACTCAGAGAGGGTCTTCCTAAGAACCACTACTTTGTGGAACACACTCCCAAGAGGATGCTTCCCTAATCACTACAATGTTAACCTCTTCAAGTCTAGGATCAACTGTTATCTATCCTACATATTTTTATAATCTGCACTTACTTCCTCCCCTTACATCCATATAGCAGCCTCATTCAAGAACCCTCTACCTTGAGTGGCTCTTTAGCTTTGTATCAAATGAAGAATTAATAAGAAAATACAAAAAACCTATATCAGTTGTGCTGTGACATCTGATCACTCAGTATGAACATTCGCTAGGTTACTCATGGTAAAGTGAGTTATCAAATTTCAAATAGGGCATAATAGTGAGTGCTAGGTGGATAAACATTCCATTTCTGAAACTATGGGAACATTTGACATCCCTCAATTTATAGCATCATGTGTGTACTAGGGATACCGGATGGAAAGTTTTATTATTCACAGATCTAGAAGTCTCTAGGTAGAATTGCCTGTAACAACAGACAAGTAACACCAGCTCAGATCCCATCCACATTCAAAGCAGGCGGTATGAAATGCATATCCAGTGTGTATTCTTCACCTTCCATAGAACATAAAAGCAGAAGACCCACTGAAGTGCTCCTGTTAATACTATGACAATGAATACATTGTCTCCCCTTGATTTATGACATCACTAATTGAACCCTAGAGAACTGGCAACATATGGCATGGTCAGATGATTCGGTTCCAGCTGTTTTGGACATAGTAGAGTTCAGGTGTGATGCAGATCCCATGTGGCCATCAACTTTACTTGTTATCAAGGCACTGTTTAGGTTGGTGCTTTTATAATGGTGTGAAGTGCATGGGTTGGGTCTGCCTGAATATATCATTGACCAATATATTGCACCATTCTGTTACTATTTGAATTTTGTGTACCCTAACAACAATGGGTTATTCAAGTGAATAATGCACCATGTCATCAGGCCCAAGTTGCCCAGAACAGGTTTGGGCAAGTTTTTTAATCAATGTATGCCGTCGTTCAGATTGAGAGAGAGTCTTTGAAAAGAAGGCTACAGGACAGTCAGCTTGACTTAATAAAGTAGCAATTGCACTGTCTGATGCATCAGTTTCAACATACAGTGGGACGGAAGGATCTACAGTTGTGATTATGGATTTTGCAATGTCTTGCTTGAGTTTTTCGAATGCTTCTATTGCTGGGCAAGATAAGGGAAAAGATCTAACTTGTATTAATGGATGTATCTTCCCTGAGAAAGAGGTGATCCATTGTGAATAGTGGGTGAACATGTTTGTTGCAACACACGTATGTTATCTGGGATTGGCAATCTGAGCAAAGGTTTTAATCACTCTGGGTCTGGTGCCATTGACGCATTGCTTATTGTATAGCCCAAAAGATTGATTTTATATTGCCCAAACAAGCATTTGCCATTATTTAGTGTAAGGTTATACTTACAACGTCCATGAACCATTTAAGGTTTTTGTTGTGATCCTTCTGTTTGTGGCCACATATAGTTACATTATAGTTACATTATCTATATAAGCAAAAGTACTTTCATCCATTATGATTTTGTCGTTTATTCTTTGAAAACTGGCTACTCCATTAGTTATCCCAAAATGGATCCTCCAGAACTGGTGCAGCCAGCCAACTGCTATTTTGTCTTTTGGCTTAATGGATACCTGATGATAAGCACTTTTCAAATCTAACATGCTGAAAATAGTATATTTAGCTATTTTACATAGCAATTTGTCTATGTGTAGCAATGGAAGAGCATCCAGAATAGTGAACTAGTTAATTGTCAGAGAGTAATCGATAACCATACTTTTGTTTTTGGTTTTCTGTGTTTGTTATTAATACTTGGGCCCTTCATGGTGACGTACTTAGCTCAATTATTCCTTCTTGAAGCATTCTTTTTATTTTGGACCCTATAAATTATTTGTCATCATGCGAATAACATTGACTCTTAATAGCTATTGGCTTACAACCTTTTGTGAGGTTTTCAAAAGTTAGGGGTATGGAATGTTGGCTGCAGTCAGTCCACAAATCTTTAATACAGCTTTATCTCCACTGAACAGGATTTCTATGCTAGAGTGTTGCTGGAAAAAATCATGGCCCAGTATTACCTCACAACAAAAGTCTTTCATTATCGATAACTTAACAGCTTTACATGAGATGGCATTATAATGTAGGTCAACCAAACAATATCCACTTACATATGATGACAAAGCTGTATTTGTCATTGTTACTCTCTTGGAGGAGGGAACATAATGCCATTTGTGAATTTTTACTAGACTGTCTCTGATATAGTTTTCCAAACTGCCAGTATCAAGTTGAAAATACGAACTGGACTGCTGTATAGCAAGCTTACAAGTATAAGCTTGTTCATAAGCAGCTTTCAAGGTAAGGGTCTTATTTTCAAGAAGGCATTGCCTTACCTGAACATTGCGTAGGCCATTTACAAAGGTGTCTAGAATATGTTCCTCTAAAACAGATATGGGAAGAAAATTGCAGTCCCTGCTTAATGTCCGAAAGGTCTTGGCTATTCATCCACTGACAGATATTACAGGGTGCTTTTTATACCTCCTAGACATTAAGGGGAGGTAACTGATGATTAATCAGTACATGCATAATATTTAGAGAGGTTGCTATTGCTTGTTAAAACTTAAAAGGTTGACAAAAAATAGAAGCTTTTATATTTTACAATTAATAGCAAACCATTATTAGTTGAATTTTTACAAATTATACACATTAGAAAACTAGAAACATTTTTTATCTAACAGTAAAAAAAATTAACTGATTATTATTATTTTCAGACCCCATTATGGCAAGTGTATCCACTGCCAAACAGAAAAGTGCAGTTTGGAAATTTTTTAAGATTTCTGATGATAACCAAAGTAAAGCAAGATGTCAACTGTAGCTAGGTACTTAAGTGATTTACATAAAGAAATTGTTCTCTTTATTGTTTAAACTCTTACCCAATTTTTTAAATAAAAAAAGATATCTAACTTTATTTCATAAGCTTTTGAATTTTTTTACTATATGTTTTATTAATAAATGTAATTTGTTCATTAAGTTTCCCAAACCAACTCTAGGGCCTGAAAATAATTAATTTTAATCATTGTAGGTATTGGAATTGGATCATAAATTTAGAACAGTATCAGGAACTGTATCAGAATCAGTAAAAATATTGGTATTGTTGCATCACTAATATATATATATGTGTGTGTGTGTGTGTGAAAATATGTAGAAAATAGGAAAGAACTCATTAGTTCTTTAGTATTTTTGTTATTATTTTTAAAAAAACAGTGCTCGATACAAAAGTAGAGCCTAAATATAATTATTTATTTAAAAATATGATTGCATTGCTACATAAGAGTTCTCATGTTTTAAAACAAGAGCCAAAAACTTCAATATAATTATTTGAATTAAATTACCAAGCTCTGTTCCATCTTCAAGCGAAATTTTTTTTTGAATTCCCACCACAAATTTTTGGGGGAATTCAGTGAGTCAGTGAGGACATGTATGAGTGTGTGTGTGTGTATAGGCAAATACTTGTATGCTATCATATGAAATGTTATAAATTTTATAAGTTTCAAATTTGCTATGGTATTTGCTATATAAAACACTATATATTTATCCATTGACCTAAATTTGAATCAGCTACATCAATTAAATTACATTGGTTTACCTTTTCCATACATTTCTTCTATTTGTCATACATATATATATATATATATATATATAAAAGTGAACATAGAAGTCAACACTTAGAGGCGACAGTCTGTTTCATGCTATATGCAATCGTCAGGCCACGTGTGCTGTTATTTTTCTCGGCTATTTATATATATACGGGTTAGTGGTGCATTGTGGGTATTCTATTATGGCGGTTATTTTTACCGGAAGTCGCTTTGTTCATTTATTTGGGTCAAGTTATATTGCTCGTTTTTATTTATTTTTTATTTTATTTTATTTTATTTATTTTATTTTTTTTTCTTATTTTATTTATTTATTTATTAACGTAGTAAAAATTTGTTTATATCACGTATTTAACAGTTTTGTTTTGGTTTGAGAATTTAATTAAAGCTGTTTGTTCAATTTTGGGGTTGGTTGTTGTAGTTCATTCTAACTATTATTTTTTTGGCGGGAACAGTTTTTTAATTTGGGATTGGTTTGTCTATTTATTTACTTGGATGAATTTAGGTCAATTTATTTTTATATTTTCTCTTTTTGGTTTTCAGTTTTTAAGCAACATAGTATTTATTTATTTATTTTATTTATTTATTTATTTTTTTATTATTATTCTTGTATTTGTTTTTATTTTATCTTTTCCGTTTTTCATTTTTTAGGTTACGTAGTAAAAATTTATTTTCATGCCTGCATTTTGAGATGAGCTCGGATCTTTTATTTAATAATTTATTTTGGTCGGGGAAAGTAATGATAGCTATTTTTTCCTCCAAGCAAAAGTTTACAAGTTTTTGATTGGTTGTTGTAGGCTGATGACTTTTTCCTTATCTTCCAAGATATTTTTGGTGTGATGTGCGTTTTGTTTTTTTATTTCCCAGATATACTTAGAAAGCATAGTACTAGAAAGATATTTACTATTTGTGAACGATGTTTTTGTGTGTATAATTTCTTTGCTTCCAGGGTCCTTCAGTTACTCCTATGTATACTTTTTCTTCGTTATCTGGTGATTTTATCGTGGCTTGGTATATTACGTTGTTTTGTAGACAATTTCCGTTTAAGGGACATTCGTTCTTTATTCTGCAGTTGCACGTGGGTTTAATTTGTTCGTGTGGTTTGTTGATAATTTTCCTATTGTGCTTTTTTTTATTATTTGTGCCATGCTCTCGGTGCAGCTGTAGCTGATTTTACTGTATTTTTGTTGAATATCTTGTGTAAGGTGCTTGATTTTTGGGAAGTGTTTGTGTAAGAAACAGATACCAAAATCGATTAACCTGAGGCTCTCCGACAATTCCTCCAATGAATCCCTATTTAACAAAGCTAAAAAAAAAAGACTATGAAACGGCCCTAAAAGATAGCGGATTCCCAGCAATACTCACATACTCACCACAGAATACAAAAAAGACCAACAGGAGAAGAAATATCATATGGTTCAACCCACCGTACAGCAAGAACGTAAAAACAAACGTAGGAAAAATATTCTTCAAACTCTTACAATTCTCAAACCAAAACAAAACTGTTAAATACGTGATATAAACAAATTTTTACTACGTTAATAAATAAATAAATAAAATAAGAAAAAAAAATAAAATAAATAAAATAAAATAAAATAAAAAATAAATAAAAACGAGCAATATAACTTGACCCAAATAAATGAACAAAAGCGACTTCGTAAAAATAACCGCCATAATAGAATACCCACAATGCACCACTAACCCGTATATATATAAATAGCCGAGAAAAATAACAGCACACGTGGCCTGACGATTGCATATAGCATGAAACAGACTGTCGCCTCTAAGTGTTGACTTCTATGTTCACTTTTATATTCACACGCTCTATCTCTGATATTGAGCACTTTATCCCATAAATATAGCACTCCTTAAGACTATATTTCTTTATATATATATATATATATATATATATATATATACACATATGATGTAATCATGTAATTCTTCTTAGCATAAGCATTTTTTTTTATTAAGATTATCCATACTTGTTCTTCTCTTTTTGATATTCAGCTTCAGTTTTTTTTATTTCCTCTTTTTCATTTTTATTTCATAATTATTCATCTTCTATAGCTGATAATTCTTTTTGCTGCTTTTTTGAATTCTCATTTTTTTCTTCTCATATTTTATTACTTCTTTTCTTCTTTCACTTTTCTTTCCTTTCTCATTACATATCTTTTAGATGAATTTAAATTATTCTTTTTCTTTTCTTTTTTCTCCCTTGTAATTCTCTTTCTCTCCTCATACATTTCCTTAACTTCTTTTTCTCTTTTTTTTGAACAGCATCTCTATACTTTTTATGATTTTTTCATGTAGCTTCATAATTTAATTATGATCTTCAATTTTAATCCTCAAAAATTCTTCTCCATACCTCTTCCTTCTCTCTTTTTTCTATTATTATTGTTGTTGTTGTTGTTATAATCATCATCATCATCATCATCATCATAATACATCTTTTTTCTCATTTAATCACAATTTATTTTTCTTTTATTATTTTGTTTTAGGTTTCTTATTTCTATTATCATCTTGAAACTTAATTCCTTGTTTTTTCTTCTTTTCATCTATAAATTCTCATTTTTCTTCTCATTTATATCTTATATATCACATTTCTCTTTCTTTAGTTAATTCATTTATGTTTTCCCTTCTCAGTTTTTCTCCTTTTCATCTTTGTTTTCTGCTTTAATTTTTTCTCTTCTTTTCTGAACCTCTCAATTTTTTTTGTTGTTTATAGATCCTACAATTTACCAATTTTTCAAAATATCCTGTTTCAGCAATTTCTTTTTTGTGCTCCAATTAATGAAGGTTGGTGTCTCTAGCCAAGAGCCATTTGCACTAGACAATCTGAAGAATTCTTTCAAATATCCAATCACTGGCAGCAGTGCTGTTGTTATTGGTAGTATAGAAATTATGGAAGTCTTGCCCTAATAAAGAAAATGCTGGGTCACATAGGCCACAGTAGTCAATAAATTGTTATTGTACAGTGGTTGCTTGTAGAGTCTATAAGAGGAGGTTGATTTAATTGTTATTTATACAAGTTAACAATGTATTTTTATTGTAATTTTGGAAAAGACAGAAAAAATGCTATATTTCTTTGTTAGATGAATTCTGCAAATGTAAGTCTCATAATAAAAAAGGGACTGAACTTTTATTGATTATATGCTATATGGAAAGAAAATTCAATCTGACAAAACTGAAAGTATTTTATGAGTGACACTATGATTTCTATGCATTTAGCTTTGCTACTTTAAGGATGGTAACTATCTGATAATTAGGAAGAATACAAAAACTGAAGCAGAAAGAAAAAGGATGGATTTTCTGTTTTCAGGATTTTAAACATCTCTTGCTCACACACACACACACACACACACACACACACAACTCCCCAAAAGAAGGAAGAGGACAAGATACACCAGATGACTGACGTATCCAATGAACACCAGTTTCAAATAGGCAAATATTTTTTTCAATACTTGGCAAAAAAGCAGTAATGTGGTGGGGCAGAAGTGGGGAGACAAATTTTATCTTTATTAATAATCTATGCTATTTCTTGACTAGACAGACATCTATATAATTTTAATGTTTCTAAGTCATAAGACAGATCACTCATAAAAAATCTCAGGATTTTTTTTCAAGAATATAAATGATACATATGAAAGGAGATGCAATTTGAATATCTTAAGAATTTAACCATGTCCTTTCTGAACATTGCAGGACACAAAGTAATCAAAGTCTCATATGATGAATTGAACGCTAGTAGATTGTGACAATTTTAATATAACACACTGAGTAATAGAGAATTGGATCAGAGCAGAATCAGCAGTTCAAACATTCATCTGAAATGGTACAGAAAAAAAAACATAAATAACACTTTACAAGGTTGCATGAAACAGTCATCAGTTCCTGTACCTAAACAAAATAAACACTCCTAAAATTAAAATTTTTGCAATAATGAATAATTGGAGAACCTATTAGATATCTTGAAACCATGTTATATTTTTATTTAGTCAAATTGTGAGTAAAACTTGAAAAAATAATCTATACTAGAAATAACTGTGAAAATTTTATGGTTTTCCTATTTGAATTGTCTGATTACTCTTAATTCTTAAGTTAATGATTGACTAAGCTCATGGCAAATTCTACGACAATAAAATATCCATAGAAATTCCCCTATCACATACTTAAATATTTGAGCTTAACAACTTTAAGAAAATATTGCAATAACAACCATAAATATGAATGCTGATTGGTAATTTAAAATGTAAGGGGGTACAAAAGAAAAGATTTGAAATTGACAACTTTTCAACCATTTCACTGAAACAGAAGTTAAATGCTTCTATCTTCCCTTCTTTTTTTCTGCAACGAACTAGTGTCTCTGATATGTCTTTTCCATATTTCCACATGATCAAAACAGAATAGTTCATTATTTAAGAAGTAATTATTTAAGGTGTAATGGTCATGCTAAAGGAGTGACAAGCAGAATTATAAGATATTTTCAATTCTTTTCAACTATATAAATTAAATAAAAGTTTTACACTGCGAAACATACCCAACTTGTGGGAATAACCACCTTCTGGTGATATGTAAAGTACAGAAATTGAAGAGGGCTAAGGTATCACACAAATTGCAATGTGTCAGATTTTGAATGACCCAAATGTAAAGGAGAAATATAAGGATAGTGTTAAAAACAGATAAAATGGACAAAATGAGAATGTAAACTCTAAGTGGGAACACACTAAGAGAAGTTTTAGTAACATCAATAACTGAGATAATCCCAAAGAAAATAGACAAAGAAAAAAGTGTGAGGAACAAGAAGACTTACCTCCCACAAAGCAAACTTGCATGGCGTGTCAGGTCTTGTTGAAAGATCACGACCGGCATTAAAAACAAAAAATAAAAATAAAAAAGACTAAAAATTCAAGCCAGCATAAATTTATAAGATCGAAAGTCTCAGGCAGATGAGAAGTAAGTCTTGTATGCAAATATTAGTTTCCCCCGATGCAGGCATAGCGGGTCTGTGAGGAAGACAGGATAGGTGTGCATACTAACGAGAATGAGAGAATAGGAGGTCAGTAGCAACAGCTTAGTTGGTAGACTGGAGGACTGGACGAAAGCAAGCACTTTAATTTATTTCAGACATCGCAAACGATAGGCAAACTGAATTACCCACAAAAAGAATGGATGATAGATGAAAATAAGACAAAAAACAATGCCAAGGTATGACACAGAATATAGCACACTGCACAAAGAAATCAGGAACAAATGCAAACAGGCTAAAGAATAATGGCTCAATGAAAAATGTGCAGAAATAGAAAGAATGAGTATCACAGATAAAGCAGATATGCATAAAAAAATAAGGGAACTAACAGAAGAAAAATATGCTCATCAACAGGATGCATAAAATCCAAAAACAGAACAACGATATAAGAGAAAGAAAAAAAAATTCAGAGATGGAATGAATACATCAGGAATCTCTTCCACAATGAACAAGAACAACCAGCAATATTCAGAAATATCAAAGGACCAGAAATATTAAAATCTAAAGTGAAATCAGCAAAGGCCAAATTGAATAGATACAAAGTTGCAGAACCAGATGGAATTGTAACAGAGATGCTGGCAGCCTTAGATGATTTTGGCATTGACAAGATCTCTGACATTAAATTAGGTATGTTCAATACTTTGCTAGAAAAGAGCATACCCTGATGAAAAAAGGCCCCAAACTTTATTAAACAATTTTTTTATCATCTAAATGTTTATATTATTAAGAGAAAAGGCCAAAGTATTTTTGAATATTTTTAAAACTTTTTAATCCCTTCTAGCACATCCAAAATTTTAGTTAAAAATCTTGTTCTTTTGAGTCAGCAAAATTTATGTAAAATCAATCGTATCAGCCATTTTTGACAACTTTGTAAACAAAAGTGAAATTCTCTGTAAAAATCTTGTAAAATTCAATTGTACTTTTTGCAAAAGTTATTTTAGGAAAATTAGAAAATTTAAAGTATACTTAAGGTAATTTGAAACAAACATTACTTAATTTTTTAGCAGAAAAAATTTAGTTAGAGAGAAGAGAAGCATGTCTAACTGTGTTTATTGGTTTTGGAAGTGTGAATTGACACTTATGTCAATATAATGACAACTAACATCAGGGCAATTTATCAGATGGAAGGGCAGAAGTGACAGTATTTTTTAATTTTAAGTGACCCAGCTTATTTAACTATAAAGTAATTCTTAAAAGTTAAGTACTTTCAAAAGTCTAATATTGATTTTTTAGGTACTATTTTAATGAAGATATCTCCAAAGCCTGCACTGTTTCCATCCCTAAAATCATCTTACTTATTATAAAACGCAGTGTGTGTGTGTGTGTGTGTGTGTGTGTGTGTGTGTGTGTGTGTGTGTCTGTAACGTTTATATATTGGATCGGATTTCCTATATTTTTTTTAGCCAATTTCAACAAAACTACACAGGACTACATAAAATTAACTTGTGGTGGTTCTAACAGCGCCAAAAATGGGAAAAACACAATTGTTTTTTTAACAAAATCAATTTGAAAACACGATTAAGACACATCATGAGAATGAAAGAGGGACAACTCACATCGGGTTAAAAAACCCAAGTTGTTTGTGTGTGTGTGTGTGTGTGTGTTCCTTTATATATGGGATCGGATTTCTTACATTTTTCAGCTGACAAACATCCACTTTTTTTTTTGGCAAGTAGTGTTTCTTATTGTCTTCCACACTTTTTTTCTTTATTTATACATTCAGAATGCTTTAAAAATTCCATTTACAAGACAATTGTTTATAATAAAATTCTATTCAATCGGTAGACTCATAACGATTGAAAACAATGTTTTTGTTTGAGTTTGGGTTTGACCAATTCGTAAAAAAAAACGAAAAAATTAATTAAGACATGCGTGTCCGTCAACCTTAAACAATAATCTTTGTCAATTTTATTTTTCAGTTTTTATGATGGTCGATACTTGTTACTGTTATATCCCCGGGCAACGCCAGGCTCTACTGCTAGTACTTATTATAAAACCCAGGTTGTGTGTGTGTGTGTGTGTGTGTGTGTGTGTGTGTGTATGTGTGTGTGTCTGTTCGCTTATATATTGGATCGGATTTCCTACATTTTTCAACCGATTTCAACAAAACTTCACAGGACTACATAAAATTACCTTGCGGTGGTTTTGACAGCACCAAAAATTGGAAAAACACAATTGTTTTTGCACGAAATCAATTTGAAAACATTATTAAGAGGCATCACGAGAATGAAAGGGGGACAACTCATATCGAGTTATACTTATTATAAAACACAGGTTGTTT